AAATTTCATTTCCAGTTGGGATAAATTGAAAATCTCTCACTTGCAAATGAGGAGGGAGACCTTCGAAAAGAAATATTTGCCAGAAAGCTAGCTGCCATTCCGCCACTTTACATCCTTCTTGCTGTCACATTTGATCATTTTCAAATGTACGGATTGGGCATTTATAAAATATCAAGGCTATCCAGGTACTATAATTTATTATGACAATATTTGGGAATATATAGTAGGACTTATTTGGGGGGTTTTCAGCCTGTTTCTATCGGGAGGCCAGCAGAGACTGGATGAACAAGGCATGCCAACCTCGCTATTTCACCGCAAGAGTCTAAAATTGGTGTGTGAAGCCTCCAGCACAAGAGGAGCATGGAGAGAAGAGGCCATGAGCAAGCCCCGAGACATCTGTTGTAGCATCATCCCCCAGCAGGCGTGATGAGCATTGTAGTTCCCTTCCAACTGAAATATTCTATTTTATTCTATTCTATTCATGGGGCAGTGCATGACAGGCACCCGTGGTGTTTAAATGCTGGCTAAGACCAGAGCTGGGGGTCTACCAGGGCTCCTAAAATCATCTGGGGGAAAGTGATGCTAAGAAATTTCCACCTGGAAATCCATCACTTTCTCCCGTCTCTCTCTCTTTTTTAATAATTCCTGTAAATGCTGTTTTAGTGACACTTCAACATTTTGCACTGTTCCTTTTAGCTCAGCACTGCCTTGCCACCCCCTCAGAAGAGCCTAAGCCTTGGGCTTTGCAGATTAAAGCCATGCTTCGGCCAGACCGAGGGGATGCAAGCCTGATCCAGCAGCCCACTGCATTTTGCAAAAGACACCGGGTCGAGTTCTGAAGGGGAACAAAAAAAAAAAAAAAAAAAAAGAAGAAAAATAGAAAAGGAAAGACCATGTACGGGTACACACACACTCGCACACCTTTTCTGTGCTCTCACACACAACCTTTAAAAGGAAACTTTCTGAGAGTTCAGCAAAAGTTAAAACAAAGCGAGTAACGTGAGACTCGGTGCCGGAGCCGAATGGAAAGTACACGGAGTCCGACTGACCTGCGCTCCCGTCCAGCAGCTCCCGCGAGACCACCCGAATAAAAAAGCTCCTTGCTTCTGTTGGAGCCGAGCGAGCCGCATCGCCTCCCTCCAGGGCTGGTGCAGCTTCTCCCTAAAAGCCATAACTTAAAAATAAATAAATAAATAGAAGCAAAGGGAGAGGAGCGGGGCGGGAGGGGTGAGAAAAGAAATCCCAAAGAGAAAAAAGCCAAAAGGAAATGACCTTCTCTGCTATTAAATAGGTGGCAGACGGGTATTAGAAACGCATCGTGGGTTGGAAGGGAGGGGCAGGAGGTGACACATCGGTCCCTTCGGCTCAAGGAGAGGCCCACGGACGAGCGCAACCGCACGGTGGTTTTTTGGCGGCAGCCGGGACAGACACGGCAAGACCGCTGTTGGCAGGACACGTCCAGAACAGTAACTGGGAAAAGAGAGCGGCCGCAAAGCTCTAAAGGGAGGGAAAGGAGCCTCCGATCCGAAGGGACACGGGCTTGGGTTGCATGGTCATATTTTCCAGCCAACTGCAAAGAGCTCTATTAATGCCTCCAGCCCTCGCTTGCCTTTGACTGTGATCTTAGGAAGGGCTTGCAGAGCAGCAACATCCTGTTTTCCACCACAGCCAGGGCCCCATCAAGGGAAAAAAGCAAGGAGATAGGAGCTAATTACTTAAATAATTACCTAATTACTCTAAGCACTCCCCACCCACCCCATCTCTACTCTGGGACGGGTGCAGCTGAGACTCCCGCCAGTAGCTTGTCCTGTCACATCTCAATTAAAGCATTTCGTCCCACCACCCGGGGCCAAAAGTTCCTAAACCTTTTGGGGTTTATAAAGCTCAGAGCAAGCCCTGCTCACAGAAAACTCCGGGAGCTGATTACTGGAGCGATCTCGATCTCTCCATAGCCTAAATGGGAGATGACAGGAGGGCTGGGGACAACCTGTCTGCTCCCACCCGACCTGCGGCACTACCGCTGCCCGTCAGAGGGTCCTTCCCACCGGGACTACCTTTGGGAAGTCTGTCCTGCCTCGTCTGGTCCACCACTCACATCCCACCCACCATCCAGCCCGTCGATGCGATCGGGAGTTGAGTGTACGTTCTTCAACCCACGGTGGGGCTCCTCTGCCGTCTCCAGATGGTGTAAGCTCCTGAAAGAGCCACCAGCAAAGGCCGAGACGCACACGCAGCTGGAGACAAGCACCTTTGCCTTCTCTCCAGCTTGTTTTTTCCAGCTTCTGTCTCTTGCTGGGGAGAGGTAAAAGCTTTGGGCAGGAACTGGGTATCCTGGAGCTCCCCAAACCCTCAGGATGGACATCAGAGGAGGGGCACCTCGGGCAGGTTGCTCAGGACCATGTCCAGTCAGGCTCCAGGGATGGAGACTCTACAACATCTCTGAGCAGTTTGGTTCAGTGTTTGGCCATCCTCCCCATAAAACAGCTTTTTTTGCTTATTTTTTAAGTGGAATTTCCTGTATTTCGATCCATGCCAGCCAGTAGGGCCTCACCCTGGCCAGCGAGACCGACAGGTGCCCAGATGGGTGCAAAAATCCCACTGACAGGGTGCCCCGGTTCCAGGACGGTGGTGTTACCCTGAGACCCCAAACCAGGACGCCACGAGCCCTTCGGGAGAAGGTGCAGATGGATACAAAACAAAAAATTTGGAGATTCAACTCTTTTTATTATGGAAGTCTATAAAATAGCCACATGGATTTTTTTTTTTTTTTTGAGATCACAAAATACACAACATTCATTTTAATATGCGACACATAATATTATATACATATTAAAAACCACATGACTGAAACACATGTTCACACGGCACCAATTTCATAACGAAAAACCCCACAAGTGCTTTTTTCTTTTTTTAATATTAAAAACAACTGTGATAAAACATATTAATATATTTCCAGACAATGTTTACAATAAAGAGAAAAAATCATATTTTACTAAATAACAAATATTTAACAGCAAAATTTTATACTAAATATCTATTTTGAATTATAACAAAAATAGTACTTATAATAGTTTATAAAGACAGACCAAAAAAAAAAAAAATTGTGTATAAAATAATATTATAGCAAATTGGACTGTGCTAAGAAAAAAAAATTAAAAAAAAAAAAAAAAACAAACAAAAAAATCCAAATAATTCTGAGATTCAAAGTGCTTTATTCTGCAAACCCACTGCAGCAACTTTTTTAGTCAAGTTATATTAGTTAGGAATGGAAAAACAAAAGCATGACTTACTTACGCCTAGATTAAATACTCACACACACACACATTATATATACACATGATGTAAGCATATATATATAATGGATGTATGCATCTTACATTACCGCTCTCCAATCAACCACTCACTCAAAAGCATGTTTGGTTTTCACTTTGTAATGACATTGGAAGTTAAAACAAAATTTTCAGCGAAACCCTTCACTGATTTCCCGTAAGCACAAGCGGGACCGAGCCCTTTCAGAGAATTCTGCCCGGGTGATTTTGCTGGCCGGAGCGCGACGCGAAGCCACCCGTGAGCTCTCACCAGCCCTTTTACCCCTGTTGCCCGTCCCCCTCTCCAGCTTTCCCCTTTTTCAGCCTCCTCACCTCCGAGCACAGGTCTCGGATGGAAATGGGGGCTCCTGGAGAGCACCCGGCCGTGGGTCCCTGGTGGGGTTCACCCTGCAGACCCCCCCACCTCCTGCCCCCATCCCCACGTCCTACGGGGGCTCACCACCCACAGAAACCATGGGCACCCTCACGTGCCACTTACCTTTCCCCAAATGTTTGTCCCTGGGAGACTCACCCCTTCCCACCACATTCAGGTTCTCCTTTTCTCCTTTGCCATTCGGGGTTTTGATGGTGATTAAGCTCCTCTTATCACTGGGAAAGAACCTGAAATCTCAACGGCGCCTGAGCTAGCGGTGTTCCACTCAAAATTCCCAGGCTGGGAAACTAGACGAGCCTCCGCTCCAGGGACATGGTGCACACAGTCCAAGGCTCCTGAGACCTTGGTTTTGGGTTTGGCGTGTTGTTTACCAACCAGAAGGCAAGGTCTGGGTCTGAATAGCATCTCCTAGAAGATTGGGAGTTTTATTCCGGGTTAAATCAACCTGAAAAATCAAGCTCTGCACCCCGGTGTGAGTGGAGACCGTCCCCCGGGGTATTTCTGGGCGGTTTCTGGCAGCTCGGCTGACGGCAATCCGACCTCAAGTGCTTCCCCTGGCTAAAAAACTGCCTCCCTCCCCCTCGCCCCCACCAGAGGATGGGCTGGCAAGGACAGCCATCACCACCGCTCGCTTCACACTTCCTTCGACCTTCCAAAGAGGCACCCGCTCGTCAAAAGCACAACCTGCAAAGCCACCTGGTAAGCCACATCTGCCCCTTCGCCTTTCTTATTTCAACCCCCCCCTGACTTCTCTGGACACCTTTAAAGCTGAAAGCCAAGCTGCTCACCCAAGCACGAGATCTTTTCCCGTCACGGTTAGGAGCGGTCTGAGCCGTGGTCCTTGTGTTGTTCTTTCCACCTCGGAGGGCAGGAGATGGGAGAGGAGCGGGGCTGGGCAGGCTGGGCCAAGAGGCCTCGAGTCAAAGAAGGATCTCCCGAGCTGGTGCTTGGCTCTGGTCTGAACCAAATGCCTGTCGGGGTGCTCGGGGAGCTTCTGCTCTGCACCCACGTGCGAGGCCGTGTCCGCTTTCAACACAACCCGCCCGTCTCACACTCAACCCAGAAGCCCCTTGCATGCAAAAAAAAAAAAAAAAAAATCTAATAAAATAAACCCACCCAGCAAATCGAATGCAAGATACCTTGGTGGCCGCTTGCTTGTGCTGGAGAAACTTTGGGCAGGGCTCCTCTCTTGGGGGAGCGGAGGGACGGGGCGGACAGCGTGCAGGGAGCCCACCGCTCGCTCTCCTTCCTGCCGGGCTCTCCCATCGCCAAACAAAACCCAAACACGAGACAAACGATGCGCACATTGGCTTATTTATAGAGATCACCTTTAATGCAAATGCCTCCCGTGGAAGAGGACGCACTGAAATGAGCAGCTCTGAGCGGGGGGTGGCTTTGCTCAGCACCCCGGTGCTCGCGGAGCTGTGGTGGGTCGGCGGGGCCATGCAGTTGGGAGGAGGCTGGTGCCCGCACCTTGGGGGAGAGGAAAGGCACCGAAATGTCCCCAAAACGGGTGCCTTTGCAGGGGAAAGGGGCTGGTGAGGGGCTGCGGCGGGGGAATGGGTGCATACAGGCCGTGTAGCAGCAGCAGGAAACTCAACGAGATAAAAAGGACATACCCCACCCCTACCCAGAGCCCCAAATGCAAAATGCATTTTGCAAAATGCAAATATGCACTCGTCCGAGGCCTCAGCCGTCCGTTCAGGCCCGGACAAGACACCACAGGGTTTTTCGGTCCCGCAGCGGAGGCAAAACGGCAGCTCCCCCCTCCCCTTCCCCTGCCTGCCCCGGCACCAGCGGGAGAGGGGATGGGAACAGGCATCGCTCGCCTCCCCCCTCGCCAAGGAAAGCCTCCAACGCCCCAAAACAAAAAACACAACCAAACAAATGAACAACAACAACAACAACGACAGAAAACCAACAACGAAAAAAAACCAAAAAAACAAACAAAAAAAAACAAAACAAAGAAAAAAAAAAAAACAAAACAAAACCAAAAACCACTGTTATCACCAGCTAATTTAACACTGTTAAAAAAAAAAAAAAGATCAGAGGCCACCCGAGAGCCGCCCCGGGACGCCAGACCTCTGATCGTCGGCTGATTTCCAAAGCCTTTCCCGCATTCGGGCCTTTGCAGCGCTCCTCCTCGCAGCAGAAGTGTTTTATAGATATTTTTATATATATATTTATAATATTTAGATACTGTGTATGGTCAGGCATCCCAGCTCGACTCGGGTTCTGCGACTTTTCCTCCTTTTTGAACGAAACGAGACGCACGACGACGCCCCAACCTTCTCTGCGCCCCGCGGGAAGAGTGAAACGGTTTTTGGCAGCTTCGCCGGTGGAGAAAGCAGTCCCGGCCCGGAGGCTCTGCGAAGCGAGCGTCGTGGAGAAGCTTCTCGTCCCTCTCTCCTCCCCTCCTGTTCGTCCCTTTGCCCCCACCCCACCCCTCCGTCCCCCGGCCGCCCGTCCCTCGCGCCGCCGGCGTGGGCTTTACACCGTCGCCCCCAGCATGGCATCTGTCCCCGTCAGGATCTCATTCTGGTTGGAATCCAGTCCGAAAAATTTGACCTTGAGTCCGTCGACCGGGTGGACCACGGGCACCAGGGTGATTTTGGGGAAAGTCCTGGTGGCGAGCTCGAAGCGGCTGGTGCTGGCCAACTCGATGGCCAACGCCTTGAGGAAGAGCTTGGCCAGGTGCTTGCCCAGACAGGTCCGTACGCCTCCTCCGAAGGGGAGGTAGTGGAACCTGCCGTCCTTGTCTTCGCTTCGACCCTGCCCGAAGCGGTCGGGGTCGAAGATGTCCACGTCCTTGAAGACGGGGGCAGTGTCGTGGGTGTCCCGGATGCTGTACATCACGCTCCAGCCTTTGGGGATTTGGAAACCCTGCAGAGAAGAGGGACAGAGTGGAGAGAAAACCAGAGTGAGTCAACTCTCCTGTAAAGAGAGAAGGAGCAGGAGGACAAGATGAAGCTGGTTTGCTTTGCCTGCTTTTTCCCATTTTCTTGGAGTTTACTCCTCGAGCACGAGGCAGATTTAAAAGAAAACCAGCGAGTGCAGCGCAAAGGGCGGGGAGATGGGAATTTTATTAATTTATTCCTGCCTCTGTCCCAGGGACCCACCGGATGATCCGTTGCTATTTATTTGCTTTGTGGTCACTGGCAGGAGTCGCCTACCAGGAACCCCGTGGTGCTCGACGGCCGCCGAGCAAAGGGAAGCAGCTTTTCTCGCGCCCGCGCCGTGCCCCCCGCCCAAGGCACATGTCAGGGCCTGGGCGATGAGAAACGGGGCGGATTTACCATCCCCTGAGCATTTTAAAAGGTTTCCGACTCAAATCATTACATTAGCAGGATTTACGGCGACGAGCCGCCTCTCAAGATTTTATTTTGCTAGTAGGAAATCCTGGCCACTGCGGTGAGTAATCTGCCTGTCAACCAGCAGCCTGGAGATGCCCTTTGCAGCGAACCTTTCCCCTGTCACACCCCAGTTCAGATTCGGGCATCAAACACTGTCGCAAGTTGCTCTTTGACGCATCACGCCTGTCTTCCCTCTGACAGCTCGAGTGCATCCCATCCCTGCCACGGGGCAGATCCCGTCACCCTCCTCTGAATCCAGAGCGATTCCACCTCCCGCCCCCAGAAGCACCTAATTTGTCCTCCCTGAGGTCTCATCGAAGCCAGGCTCAAGTAAGCTTCGCAACGACATGCAAAAAAGCTGTTTTGGGGAGCACGGGGTGCAACCCGGCGAGATGGCAATACTCACATCCAGCTCAAAGGTTTGCAGCACCGTCCGGTACCCCCCGGAGATGGGGGTGAAGAGGCGAAGCACCTCCTTGATGACGCAGTCCAGGTAGTGGAGGCTGTTGATGTTGTCGAGCCGGAGGGAGCCCTCGCAGATGCAGCCGTTGTGGAGGATGCCCTTGCTGCGCAGCTCCTCCCGCAGCTTCTCCAGGACCCGGGGGTGTTTGAGGAGCTGCATGATCAGAGAGGTGCTGGCGCTGGCGGTGGTGGCGTAGGCGGCGAAGATGAGCTCCAGGGTGCCATCCTGAAAGACGAGAGCAAAGCCAAGGTAAGACAGAGGGGATGGACAGACAGACAGGCCAGCAGCCGTGGCACGTCAAGGCACAGGCACGCAGGCTGTCATAGGGCATTTTTTTTTCCCCCCAAGAGCTCACCAGCCTGGTCATGTCTAACTGCAAGGGCACAGATCTTGGACACCCACCACGGGGAACATCCCGCAGAGCCTGGGAGGCTGCTGAGGACCAGACAGGCAGGAGAAAAAAAAAAACCTGGGGATGGCTCTTGATGGCACATGAAGGGCAAGCTATGCCATGACCCCGCTGCTGATAACAACCTGGTGAGGGCTCATACGCCCTGCAAAGGAGGCGCCATAATACTGGATGGGTCAAGGGGTGAAGCTGGTCAAGGCTGAAAGCTTCAGCAAGCTTGTATGGTCTTCTGGTATTCCCTAGAACTGCTTTTTCAGAAAAGGGCTGAGCATGAGCTGCAAAAAAATACACCCGGTAGGAAAGCAACTGTCTTGGTGGCGCCGTAATCCACCAGACCAGAATTCACCTGCAGCTCCAACACCACATTGTGGTCCCCCAGCTCTCAGTGATCATCTCAGACCTGCTCCCCGAACACCCTCCTTACAGCAGCTCACGCTTTGCTCTTCGGGGAGCCCCTGCCCCGAGCACAGCAAGGTCAAGGCGGCCACGGAGAAGACCTTTACCTTCAGCTCCTGCATGGTGAGCTCCTTGCCGTGCTCTTTTCCGCTCTCTATCAGGATGTCCAGCGCATCAGCGTAGTCCTTGCCCTGCGTGTTCTGCAGTTTCTCCTGGATGGCTTTCTCCAGCCCCTTCTGCAGCGTCTCACGTGCCCGGATGCCCTGGGGAGCAGGAAGCCATCAGACCCCGCGGGACACAACGTTAGCACCACACCATCCCCAGCCCAAGCGTCCCCCAGTTGCTGGCGACGTGCTTCGGACATGGCTAAAGCAATACAGCTGCAATTGCAGATGCTCAAAGAGAAGTATAAAGATGCTGAAGTTGTTGCCCGGGCGGGAGGAGCAAGCCCTGAGTGGGCGAGATTACAGGCAAGAGTAATCAGCACCTACGTGCAAATGATAGGCCTGGTGTGGGAGCCCCAGTACCGCACCAGTTCACAGGCCTCTGGCTCACCCGGGGATGTGTGGCAGCCCCTGGGAAAATTGTCTCTCAAAGGGAAGTCAATTCATCCAGAAGGATGCTCTTCCCGGGAGCGTAATGGTGCTTCCCGAGCAATTTTATCACCTTGTCTCAGTAAAGCAATTCCTGTCTGAGCGCAGCTGCACCGGGCTAACCTGCTGCTGCCAGTGCTTCGGGGCTGCAAGGGGCTGGGCTCGTTCACATGGTCAAAGAACCGTAACAAAATTTGCAGCGATAATCACGAAAAATAGATTTTTAAACCCCCTATTTCTGTTACCAAAATTCCCTGTGAAAAAAATGCAATTTTTTTTGTCTATGGTTTTTATTACGTTTTCATTTTGCATCACTCATCAAAAGACTGGAATAGTTCTCAGAATTAGAAGGTCCACTTGCCTGTTTCTCCCTGGGGACAGGAGGGAATTAACAGGAGAAGGGTCCCACAAACAAAAAAATAGAGCAAAACTGCCAGTTACAAGTAAGGAAAAATTATGCATTAAGTCAGGGCAAGTCCTGGCTTTATCCTCCCTTGCATCGAACCGCACAGTCCCGAGCACTCTAAAAACCTATGAACGGATCCTCCTCTCCACTGAATCGAAACTGGACTTTGTAGCCCAAAATGGGCTCACTTCTAGAGGTCAGAGGGTAAGAAGACATCCCACTGAGAACCTCGAAAAGCGGGGATTAGCCACCAGGATTAACCCGTTAATCCCAGATCGGTGTTACCAACTGGTGGAGGACTCAAGCCAAATCTCTTACCCTCCTGTAGCCGCTGAAGGGCAGATCCACGGGCAAGGAGAAGACATTCTCCACGAACTGCTGGTAGACCTCGAAGAGGCGGTTGAGTTCCTCATCGGGGATGCGGAAGCCCAGCAGGACGCGGATGGCCATGCGGAAGGTGAGCTTCTGGGTCTCGTGGTAGACGTTGATGGACTCGGGGTTGCTGCTCCAAGCCCGAAGGGTGTCTTTGATCACCAGCTGGATCTTGGGGAGATAGCTCTCCAAGGCCTCATGGCTGAAGATTTTGGAGAAAACCTACCAAAGAGAGCAAGCAGAGATTTCTACCCAGCCCCAACACCCTACTCTTTGCCTGCTTGAGTAACCAGCTTCCACCCACAGCAACGGACGTCGTAGATCTCCTTGCGCCGAGCAGAAGGCTCCTCATCATCCAGAATTCATCACCCAGAGTCACCGGTTCCTAAAACAGCTGCCCAAAAGGGTCGATGGAGAACTATCAGCTGACAGTTCCTCCGCAGGCTGATCCAACCCCCCCCCGCCTCACCCTTCACAAATGACGGGCAATAACGGGGTGCAAACCAGAGATGCGAGGAAACACTTCACCCCGCGCACGGATGGAGCCCGTTTTCCCACAGCTCCATGTCTCGTGGCTCCCAGTTACACCGGTCCCACAATTTGGACGCCACTAATACATCCCTTCCGCAGGGATTCTCTAGTGTCTAACATCACGGTTGTGCATGCATGCAGACACACTCAAGTGTTTCTCGCAATGGGAAGCATTGGCAGTTTCTCCCACCGATCAACCGCCCTTTTTTAATATATGTAAAATTTTAACTAATTATTTTAAGGCGTTTAGGATCTTTGTGAAATCTGGATGAACTTTGACAGGGGTTCAAGTGGGGAAGAGAGGCATGCACACACGCAGTGGCTGCGATCGCACACAGCTCATTTCCTTGGGAAACCGGGCAAAAAAAAACCTGGTGTCAGCAGACAATATTAATTTAAGCTCTGCGAGTAAACACTGCGCAGGAGTGGGCCTCCCCAGGTCCCCGATGCTAATGGCTCCTTACTCCAATTTGGGCCAGGGCCCGCGCGTTGCACGAGGAGCTCAGCAATGCCAGGAATGTCCCTTCAGCCCTCCCCGGCGCAGCCCACAGCACACGCTTTCATTCGGCATCCCCGCCGCATCCCTCCCAGAGTGCACCGGAGGAAAAAGTGCTGTTTGTTTATTTTTTATTAACCTACACACACACACACACACGGGGCAGCACGCACACACGCACCGCCACATGCCAGGCCTCCGGGAAAATCAAATTAAAACAGGCTCCCAAGGAGGGAGCTGCAAGCCTGCGTAGCCTCCACCGGTGGCCAGTTCCCGGGGCGGGGGGGGAGTGGAACTCAATGCACGGTGGGGGGGCTGCAAAGTTATCAAACCAACAAGAGGAGAGAAATCAAAGCCGCCCCCTCTTTCCATGAGCGCCGGACTCGCTGGAGCTGTAAATGTGAGAATTTCCTCCGCAGTCAGCACTCAAAGGGAAAGGTAATATTTTCCTGGCTGCGACCCCTCATTGCTAATGCACATCGTTCACTGGGAGTTTGTTTGGTGAAATAACACCTCTGTCCCCTCGCAGCCCCGGGCAGGAGGCTCGACAAGAGCCACTTCATAACGAGCTGCGCTCGGGCTGAGCCCCGAGTAAAACTCATCACACGACACACGGCCAGGCAGAGCTCGGAGGCTCCCTGTGGAAATACCAGCAGGCAAACGGGAGGGGAGGGCCGGGGGGAGAAAAATGCGCAAGTGGACCAACGGACAGATCTGCCTGCAGACTGACAGCCGTCCCCGGCTGGCTAGGAAGAGCAGGGGCATGAATGACGGGAGCGGAGGGATGAGCGACCGAACAGCGGGGCTGCGGTGGGGCCGTGGCGAGCGCGCGAGACGGCGCGAGCTGGTTTTAAGCCTGGAAAGGGGCAGAGGTGCTCGGGCAGACCTGCCTGCCCGACAGGGTGAAAAAAGCAGCCGGGCGGAAAAGAAAAGCTGGAGGTGCTAAAGCCGAGTGCGACGGCTGGTTGGGGAAGGGAACTGGGAAAGGGCTGGTTCCTGGTGGCCGTGGGCGGGACACCAGGCTTTGGTGCAGTGCTGGCTGGAGGGGAGCTGGCAGCCACGAGCTGCTCCCCAGGGATGGGACAGGACCTCCCGGAAAAGGGACACCGGTGTCCCCCCCGTCCGGCTGGCATCTGCCCTTCCGCCACGCTGCGGGGTTTGGGCTGAGGACAGGGGGTCCCAGTGAATCGCCTCGCTCTCCCCGAGCGCTTCCCGGGACTCAGTTTCTCCAGCTGAAAGCGGAGCTGGCGAGGGGACAGCTTAAGGGACGCCGAGGCTGCAGCCCTGCTTGGGGCCACCATCCCCATGGAGGTGGCCCCTGGGGATCCCAGCTTGGGGCAAACCCTGTCCTCTGCCCAGCATCTCCCACAGGCAAGGGGCTGGGGGACCCCCTGCACCCCTCAAAAACCACAGTATCCCAAGAAATGCTTCTGCTCCTGCTGTGCAGAATTGTCCGGGGCCGGGCCCACACCCCGGAGAGCCAAACCCTCATGGGGAGAGCACCCGGTCCAAGCAGTGATGCTCAGCGAAGGGGAGCTCAACCCATCACCTGCCCGGCATCGAGGGGCTGGGGATTTTTTTTTTTTTTTTTGCCCTTTTCGGAGCTGTCCTTTTGCTGTCAAGCTCCTCCAGCCCCAGATGGCTGCACCCCACGTCTGCCGGAGCCTTCAGCTCCTGGCCTCAAGGCCGGCCAATGCCGCGAGCTCCGGCCGCGCTGCCGGCTCCTTGCAACGCCCTGTCCGCTCGCCGCCGCTGCGCTCCACGCCGCCTAATCCCAGATGTCAGCGGATCCTTCCCCAGCCAGACACAAGTCTGGATCCCCTTCCAGTCACCTCCAGTTCAACCCTGCATCTTTCCAGTTGATTAAAAAGGAGGAAAAGGCAGCCAACTTTCCCCGACAAACCTCGGCGCGTTTCTAGCCTAAAATTCCTGCGCCCTCTAGTGAAGCAGAGTCGAACGTTTCGGCCGCTCGTCAGAGCAAGACCAGGCAAAGGCAAGGAGCATCGGTGCAAAAGAAGTTGCTCCAGAGCTGCCAAGAGGCAAAAATCAGCTCTAAGGGGATGCTCGGCTTTGCTAACACCGAGATGCAATAGGCAGCCGTGGTGGGGGTCCTGTCAGGTGGCCTTGGCGACAGTGGCCAGGACTTTTGGGGGATGCTGGAAAGAGCCCTCATTTTTTTTCCCCCTTTTGCTATCTCTCAAAAGAGCCGAGTCTGGGGATTTGCTCTGTCCGGGGGCATTCATTTATTCATTTACACCCGCAGACACGGGCTCACCCCGCGCCGAGGGAGACACCACCACCCAGTGAGCCTGGCTGGAAACTTCCGAATCCGTCTCATAGTGGAAACAGGATATTTAAAGATTTATGGTTTTCCTAAGGCAGAAAATTCCTTCCCAGTGTCTCAGCTCTAGGATCTCCTGGAGAGGTCCAGCTCCATGTGACAGCAAACTACCCCCAGTCCCAGCTGGAGAATACCCCAGCCGTGTGCTTAAACCACGCCAAAGAGGAGAGGATATTCAAGTGAAGAGCCCTGAACTTTCATCCACAGCATTTTCATGCATAGAAAAGGCTTTGTTTAGTGGCTGGGGTGGAGAGGAGGTAGCGGGGACGATGCTTTTCGCCATGTTACCCCTCCTTGGTGCTGGCCAAGCCTCCCCACTCCCAGCACCAACATCACACGCGACCTGAAGATCACGAAAGATCATGATGATGAAGATGGGTTCAGGACCACGATCTTCAGGATCCATCATCTTCAGGACATGAAGATCGGCCCACCCGGCACATCAGCACAGCAAAGAGAGAACGGGGCTTTTCCTTCCTCGCCTCCAGGAAGGAAAACTGATGCTTTGGGATCAGACACCTGCATCTCATCCAGCCCATGCCGGCCAGAGCTGCTGGCCCGGCCAAACGAAAGCACAATGAGCGTGGAGATGTTTTCACGAACCAATTTGGCATCTGCCAGCAGTTTGGCTGGCAGAACGTGTCAGGAAGCATCCAAAGCAGCGTCTCAACCTGGAGACGTACTATTTCTTCCTACGCTTCAAAAGACCAGGCGGTATTCGTCCCAACCCTGTCCTGTCTCCACGTTACAAGGGCTGTCTGCCTCTCTCCGCCATCAGACACGGGGCTGCCAGACGTGGAGCCCACTGCCATGCGCCAGAGGGGTTGTAAACAGCAATATTTTTGGAGTGGGATGAGAAAGCTCATGGACGAGAGGCCATCCTGGCACTGGGAGCACGAGCAAAGGGAAAATACGGCAAAAAGTGTTGTGACGACTATGCAAAAGAGGAGAGGACCTCCACAAACCCCCACTGCTGCCCTGACACTCTGCCGTCTAGTTAGGAAGGGCTTTGCCTTTCACAGGCACACGGCAAAGAGCTGATCCCTGTTCTCCCCATGTTGCACTTGGAAAACAGAGCACATGGACCACTCCACGGTCTCACGGGAGGAGTCCAGGCCCCCCGAGAGGGAAAAGCCAAGAGTTTCAGTTCCTGAACCCCCAAAATGAGCGGCGCTGGGTTTTCCCATCAAAGCAGAGCGCTGCACGCAGGGTGCAGGTGAGGAGTGGGGGTGTCTCGAGGGAGCTGAAGGCAGCAACCTCTCCCAGGGAGAAATGCAAGCGCCCCAGGAAAGCTGAGACCCGTCTCCAAAGGGAGTCTGGTCACAGTAGCTGGAGTCTCCAAACTCGGCCCAGCTGAAGAAAAGACACGGAGTGCCTTTGCACAAGGCAGTTTCACTGAAATTCGAACGATTCTCAGAAATAAATGTGCTGGGAAAAAAAGTAAAGATCACTTTAGCATCCTTGGGCCACATTAGGATGATCATGCACCTTTCAGGGTTTCCCATACCCCTGATTTTTTAAATTAATTTTTTTAAACATCTAGGGTTGTGAGAACCGCTAGTGTTTCACATTTCTTCTTGAGTTCAGAGTAAAAATGAGCTCAAGCACCCCACTTCCCCACAGCTCAGAAATCTCTGTGTCTGAGCACCTCACCCACAAACCCTCCACCTGGCACAGGAGACTTTGCTTTTGAGCCGAAACCCTTTAACAGGTTATCAGGATGAAGGGACTGTGATGCACAGGCTGGGGCGGGGGGAGAGCAAAGAACAAGCAGGACACTCGACATCCATCTCAGCACCCCCTTCTGCCAAACTGCCTTGTGTCTCAAGAAAACCCAATGCCATCACTGGCAAA